AGGTGTAGGAGTAAAGCCGGCCGCGTCTCCTACCTTTTCGGCGGCCTGGCTATCCCTCCAGAGTGCAGAATGTCTCTCGCGGTCCAGGGATAATAAAGGAAAGCTAGAAAATTAAGGAGGATTGAACAGGATGATCGGTTCAGTACACTCCTTCCATCTGCTATCGTAGTCCTTTGTTTACCTGCAGAAGCTCGGGTACGTCAACCCCTCCTCCCCCCAAACAAAAACAACAACAACAGCAACAAAAATTTGTCCCCTCAATCTATGCGTATTCGTAGGCAACACCAAGAGTTTAAAGTATTTAAGAAAAGTCATACCGTCGAAACCGGTTATAACTAAGTCAACGGGAATGGGAAATCATTTTGCTATATCCGCTACTTCGTTATAACCCACTTCGGTTATAACGAAGTGCAAAAGGGTATCGGAAATCGTGATAGCTTCGCTGTAGCCGCTATTTCGTCATGACCGACTTTGATATAACCGTTCTCGACAGTATATTCACAAATGCATCTATTTGGTCGTGACGGAATGTCGTGAAGTGCGGTTAATAAAACGAAACCGAAACTTTTGCCACTGAGATCCGAAGGTGCTTTGGAAGGCATTAAACGCCGTTAGAATCGCTTCGATTGTGCGAGAGGTTGCGAAATCAAAGCGATTTTACGACCTTGCGCAAAATCACGACTTTGCAAAAAATCGCTTCGATTTTGGGCAAAAAAAAAAAAAAAAGAAAAAGAAAAATATAAATAATGGTTACGTTGTGTTTATTGGTTTAGTTCTTAACTTGGTTGCTAAGTGACGCGGCGGTTAAATCTCCTCTACAATACATGGCTTGCCCGTGATGGCATCCCCCATTTTGGTGGTCCTTCCCACTTGTTGTCACCTTAAACGAAAATTCGGTTATGAAAAATGCATGCTGCAAAAGGTACGTACGCACTCATCAGCAAAGCCATCCCAATGGACTCTAATATGACTTTCAGTGAAAGCCACGTATGGCGGAACTAGCGGAACTAGTCTGAGCATGTCGCATACAATTGACGTCGTTCTGCTTTAAGGCCAGCAATGTTATGCACCCTGATTAGCTTCATATTTTGTGTTCATTATCTCGCTGCTTCGAACGAAAACAAGAACAACAATAACAACAATAACAACAAACCCTCTTTGCTTTAGCGACATTTGCACTTGCAGCCCGGCACCCAGCACTCAGTCGCCCGGATATCGTATATTCGTTAGGATAATGCCGGCCTTGCTTCGCAGAACAACCCCACTAACAACTACGGCATACATATGTATATACCGAGCACGGGAAACTAGCGACGACTCCGTATAAGCGAAAGCAGTACTACTGGAGGCGCTGATACCAGCTGCGTAGCTTTCTGCAGCCACTGTACTCCGTACACTCGTAAGCTGACAGTGCGGTCGGAGACACACGTTCGGCGAACCAACCAATCGCCTTCCTTGATCAGCTGACCCCGATTTTTGCGCGAGGGCACGATCACATGCCGAAAGATGGGGGCATGAGTGGCTCAAACGGGCACGTGGCTTTTACCGCACTGTCAGCTTAGGGTGAACGGAGTATAGCTGTAAGGATGGATTAAGCGAGACTTCATAATATGCGGATAGAATTTGTACTCGCTCGTACTTCACTCTAGGGTCATGTCGTCAGAGCCTTCTATCTTATATCTCGGATCTGTTTATGCCAAAACACAATTCGGCCGGGTTCAAGAAAATACCTCTCTTGCTTTAGGGTAAATGAAGCCAAAACTAGGGGTAGCCTGCTTCCACCGAATATTACACGGACAGTCCGTCGAATAGAACGTCATCATGTTAAACGTGTTTCTCCCACCGTGTGTTACTTAAAGTGACCGTCAACGGCGGTCATGTACAGGGTGTCTGACCTTAATTCAAACAGATTTATTAAAACACCGTCGTAAAATGTACACTGACACGGTCTGTACATGTAAATTATAAGGTCAGGGGGACATAACACAGGGCTGCTAATCGTCACAATAAGCAAAAAAAAAAAAAACTATCGAAAACTTGTTGAATGGGGTCTTTAACGTGCATCACGCGGCCGCACGCCGGTACGATCATAATCCAGATTGAAACAAGCAGGGGTTGGGTAGATTCACTAAATCAGCTGCGCTTAGAGTATCGGCACTCTGTTCCTCGATATTGTCGTGGGCGCCACCGTCTTGGTGCTTGTGCAGAGCAGACGAAACTGCCGATCGTCATGATTCAAAAATGCGACTTCTTCAGCATTAGATTCGGTGCATTCAGCGTTAGATTCGCGAACAGTTTAAACATTTTATGGAAGGCAGAAAAGCTTTCATTGTGATTTCAGATTACGTTTCAGATAACTGGTAACCATTATTTAAGCCACAAGATGGATAAGTGAGGTTCACTGATCTCCTATTTCAGTACTACTACTACTACAATAGAGATCAGTGGTGAGGTTACTCTAAAGCGTAGCTTATTTAGTGGCATTAGGGTGGGGACTGAACCAGGTTCTGCCTAGAGCCACTTTATGTGGCAGCGTAGCTGCCAGAGTAGCGACACGACGCAAAATTATCTAGATGCACGACGTCAGAAGCGCTGATAGTGATCTCCATTTTGGGCCTGGGAGGTTGCCATGGTAACCGTGCTTCTAGCGTCGCCGGGCGGCAACCGTTGTAGTCTACTCTAGTTGATATCTCCATTCGTTCATTGAAAAGTGGTATAAGACCTATAAGACGCTTGGCATCGCGGTACGGCAAGAACTTCTGGAGGAACGGTGCCTGTTTTTTCTGAAAGGTGAGACGATTTGCAGCCCGGGGACTGTCGGGCGACGAGAGCTGCTATGGTATCGTACGTGCACGGACAAGGCGAGTGGTTTTCGGCGCCGCCGGGATGGCGGCCGCTTCGTGGGACGAACGTACCGTGCTGGTACTTTCGGACTTCGCTCGGATGGAACAAAATCCGATTACGCCGGCCACGACAAGACGATTGGCTCGGAACATGACTGCTGCTCGACTGCCCCATAGTGAGCGAGTATATATGTTTAGCATCATACTTCTTCAAGACCCGATCATCCCTTCAAGATGAGATTTTCCCACCGACTGGTGAGGAGCGACGTCGACGGGGTTCAACCAAGAAGGACGGCATGGTGGTCTCTTGGGAATTGTGGACGCCATCAAAAGAGACGGACGCCGGATATGAGGTGTTCTTGCAGAAAGGCAAAATGGTCGTTCGGAAGTTTACCGGCATTCAAAAAGTCAATATTTTTATCTGGTGTAGCACACATATCCGTGTTAATGGGGTATTCACACGAGGGAGAAATCTCGGGGATTTCTCCCCGGCACGCGCATTCCACGACGAAAACGTCAGGCTTTGCGATGTGCAAAAGCCTCGCGTTTTCATCTCGTTATTTTATTTTTATTTTTTTATTTTTTATTTTAAACTTCTTCTTTCTTACCTGTAATCCTCAACTCGGAAGAGAACTGTGAAATCACGCAGTCGTGACATACTAGGGCACCGGTGCGATGACCCTAAGCCTTCACCATGCTTTTTAAGCACACCGTAGAGCTTGGCATTCGCAATTAATGATAAGTTCCGTCAGGGCACTCATTCGCCAGGAACGCGAATTAAAATATCCATGGACGAATTGATTGCTGACGAGCGCATACATCCGAGCGCCGCAGTTTTCGTGTCCAATGCGCGAGTTGGGGTCGGCTGACGTCATTTTGGCCTTTGTAGGCATTGTAAATAGGATATTTAGAACCATACACATATTATGATAACGTCATGGCACACTGACATTAAGGAGCACAAAACGGGCCCAGCTACAGAAAATAAATATTACACTCGTAAGAAATAAATACGTCTGTAACTTGTTAATTACAACGACGAAAACCCCTCTGAGCATCTAAGTTCAATAGTATGTGTTGATGAATTGTCATATAGCAGGACATTTCATATACGTCACTTGAGCAAACGCCAGTTTTTCACTTGAAAAACAAACCAAAAAACACTGCGATCAAATGCAAGCTATTGCAACGAAAACAAGTTATATCAAAATCTTCAGAACTGCCATTTCGTAAAATTGGCGATTAGTAAAAAAGATTAAAGATCGCAGGAGCTTCCTCGCTAAAAGTTTGTGATCATGCGGTTACCTGGGGCAAAAACAAATTCTCCAAGGCCCAACATGCGACGCACAGATTTCGCATCGATTCTCAGACACTCCAACGTTCAAGTAAAGCTAAGAGAATGCAAAAATTCCATGCTAAATGTCTTATCGATCCTCAAACACATCCGGAAACCCAAGCACCTCTAAGGCAATATTAATATGCTGTCGCACAGGTGCTAATATCCAGAGCGATCTTGCACAGAAAGGGTATAAAGTATACCATTCTTTCAGATCTTCACGTTATACCTACGTCAGAAAGCACGAAGAAGCCCTAAATCGCCGGCAAGCTGCGGCACAACACGACTAAGGGCACCGAACAAACTCGCATCCACCAGCTCTGGGCGCTGCCATCTTACCGATGACATCACGGCTGTTGAGAGGTCACGTGACGAGTCGTCACTCGGTTGCTACGGAAACCGAGTCAGCTCAGCTCGTTGCTATGGTACCGCGTGTGACCAATCGCGGTGAGAGGCGGCACAGGGAAAAGCGTGGCGCTACTCTGGCAGCTACGCTGCCATATCGAGTGGCTCTAGTTCTGCCGCGGGAGATTTTGCTTCACGTGCTTCGAGCTGGTGTGCGCCGCGTGGGCTAGGCCACTCGGCCGTCAGTCCCCCTGGCGAAGAGATAGCCACTTATCTATATTGTTAATAGTTTATACAGTATATTATGCAAGAACATGGCGACATTGTCACCCATTGTAGATAAGCAATTTAGCCAGTGCGGTACGACCGATATAGCCTGGGGTCTTTAACGTGCACCACGGAGCAGTGACACACGACCGCACGCCGGTACGATGCTCATCCAGATCGAAACGGGCAGGGGCGGGGATATACAGGGAGACAGCTTTTTTGATGTCGTTCATCCACGGGGCCCCGACACGAAGACGAGAAAGCGGAGTTATATATAGAGTGAGCAAAATGGCAAGGACATCAAGATCAACAACATAAGCGTACGAGCGCGAGATCGAGGGCCGTCTCAACATGGACGAGTGCTCGGGAGCGGCGAAGACCCAACAACAATGCATAAGTCCTGAAAAGGAGACTGCTCTTCCCGCTCCCCTTGCCGAAGTCCAAGCCTTGACAAATCTCACCGAGGGATGGCTAACATTTGCAGTGCGATGGATGGAGATCTCGGAAAAACTGATAACCCTCGCAGATCACGTCGCGTTTTCTCTTGCAACAAGAAGCCTTCCTGTAAGTACCCGATCCAATGCTAAATCTTCGTATAGGTTGGCCAGAGCGTGTGTGTTTTTGTAGCATATGGATTGCTCGTGATATCATACGTATCCTGGTGGCGGGGAGAAAAAAATCGTATTACTTTTTCTGGAAAAAGCAAATTTTTATTTTTACTGAAATCGGATGAATTTTATTTAAATCACCATAGCACAGAAAAAGTAATGCGGTGTCACTGAATATGTTTTTAAACATGAAAGATTGTCTGATGAATTCGTCCAACTACTGAAAGCTACGGCGAAAAAAACAACACAAAGTTTAAGCTTCTACATTACCATTTAATTGACAATCTTTTTTGAAGTAATTAGCATCATGCTACAACAAAAGTAGCTTGATAGTCTTGGTTAGTTAAAACGTTTTTTTTGTGTTTTCTAATTTTTTATATGAAATTACACTTGTTCTCGTTTCGTTCGCGTTTTGATTTTCCTGTAAAGGAGATTATGTAACTGAAGAACGAATTCGTGGATGGTAGAAAGAAAGCTCGAAGCTCTGATTTGGTAGCACCGCCTTTTGTTCGTGTTCTGCCTGCTATGAATCTTCCTTGCCTGATGCCCATTTATTGTAAATACAAGAAATGCACTTAAAAAAGCATAAATGGTTAGACGGACATTAAATATAAAATTATTTTGGCGATAATATTTTGGAGAAAAATGTTGATTTAAATCATCATATGCTGTGATTTAAATCGCGAGTTAAAGGGACACTGACAGGGTGTTTATGCTCGCCGAGGTTTTTAGTTGTACGTGACATATGAGAGCTGAACTACCCAGAACAGAATTTGCGGCTCGAAATTCGGTTTCTTTCCGCCCGAAAACCGCCGATCAAGAACTGGCCGGTTCGAGTCTCGCTCACTCTCTTTTCCGCGGTCACGGGCCGTTTTCTAAGGTATCGATGCGACCACCAAATTTAATCAAAGTTGTGGGTCACTGAAGGCACACACTCAATGTTAAAAATAGAAAAAAATATGAAACCCATTTTTTGTGGCTTCTAAAAAGCTGCAAATACGTTGATTGAAAAAAAAGTTCCACAGACAACCGGAAGCATTCTGTGCGTTCGTCGTTTCGCGTATCGTGGGACTCGCGGGGACGGCGATGGCAGCGGATGACCGGCGTGGGACCTTTATTTCAGAACTGTTGTTCGCGGTACCGGCGACTTCTGTCTACCTTTAAAAGAGAAATTTGGGACTGATCAAAAGAATTGGTATTCATCCCGTACGACACGCCCGACCACCAAGCCGATTTGCACGAAGACGTCGCCGAGCCGTCGCTCCCTGCTCATGGCTGAAGACATCGCTCGCGCAAACGTCAAGCACGACGTGTCTACTTCGAGTTGAATATGCACGCGTACGATTTCTTTACTAGGTGTGAATGTCGCCAATGCGTGGTGCTTCCCGACTTCGGCCCGGGAGTGCTTTTGCTAGAGAAAAATCGGCAGCAAACTTTCGAACTTACAGTTTACCGATCATTACTAAGGAGAGAGATCCACCAGTAAAGAGGTGCCCCGGTAGGACCGAAATCGACTCCCCGTGAAACTTTTTTTTTTTTTTTCAAACATTTTCCGATGTTAACATATCTTTTTTTTTTTTTTTTTTACAATTATCACTGAAGAAACAAACAAAAAAATAACAAATAAATGTTGTGGACGACACTTGGCTGAGTTAAATGGTATGGGATTTCCTTTTTGACACTTGCGAACTCAATGTAATCACTTTCCACAAAATGCAAGAAGCATATAAATCAGGAAGCCTGTGCTTTCCGAGGTGCCCGTAAATGTTGAATTGCAGCCAGCCATTGGTCCCGATCCCGTTGATCTTTCGGAAACTCTGTCGCACAATGCCCCTTTTTTTTTCGGACGCAGGACATGTGAGCCAGCTCTTCACGCAACATCTTGGGTGTATTCTTTTCGGAGCCGATCATGGAAATTCTCCACGGGCACTCACTACTCATCTCCAACTCCTCAATGTACAAAACAACTCATCTTGGAGTTCAGAACAACGAGCGGAACAATCATAACTGCAAAAGCGAACAGTTCCCGTACGCCGCATGTCGTGTCGTCTGCTACGGAAAGGAGAAAAAAAAAAACAAAAAAAAAAAACGCACGGTCGGGTGTAGTCACGTGACTTCCGCCACTCACTCTCTTCTCTCGACTTCTCCGACCTCCGTCGGGTTTCGGTTTCGAGCAGTTGCGTCTTTTGGCTTTATTAAAAAAATACGCTACTCTGTTGCAAAATATTAATTGGGTAGTCCTCCGACACCATAATGAAGCGCCTGGCAAAAAATGGAAAAAAAAAATTTGGGGGTGTCAGTGTCCCTTTAAATCATGGTGATTTTTCTCCTCCACTCTATAGCTGGTACGCATTACTTGCTCTTGCAAAAAAAAAAAAAAGAAACCCGTTTACAAATATCTAAAATGCGAAATTAGAGCGCAGCTCTCGAGAAGGAGGAGGGAAGGGTACAGAGGAGGAGGAGAGGAGGTAATCCGAACCCCCCTCTCCTCTTCCTGCGTACCCTTCCCTCTTCCTCCGGTTACGCCGACGGCGGCGACGGCGACGCCGCTAAACACGGGAACGAGCGCCTAAGAGCTGCGCTCTAAAACAAATTCAATGGTGCGATATGAATGATGGAAAAGGTACGCGCTCAGTAGCAACCAGTAAAGTCACCCGAATGGTCACTGACCGTGAAGTCAATGGAATCTATTTCTCCGTGAGTGTTTTCTTGGACAGGGTTGTTAAAGTCATGGGACACAAAGATTCTTTGCGTTATAACATAGCAGGAGGAGCGGCCGAAAAAACGCCGAAAGGTTTTCATTTCCCACAAACCCGCAGGTCCGTTTATTTTTTTGACGTATTTCGTCACGGCGCGAAAAATCCCTATTACTCCAAGGCGCCGAATTAGAGCGGCACGAGAGCACGCGGAGGGGACCGTGGTTCACAGGTGTAACGTCAGAACAAAGATTATCGGCTGTTACCACCGTGGCTGTGACCAATACGTTCGATGATCTCTAAAAAGCACGGCGGAGGTTTGGGGTAATTGCATTTTTAAACTCAACACCGTCGAAGTTGACAGTCTGATATCGCTCTTATTTTCGCCAATGAAATAAAAAAAAAATAAAAAAAAACGTTTCTGTTATTTTTTTTCTGTCCTTGATCAAAGAGTAGCCCTTCGTAGCTAGGTCAGAGCTAAAGTTACTAGATTCTGGAAAAGTAGAGTCATTGCCTTCCCTGCATGCTGGCCGAACACAAACAAATACTAACATACAGACGAAAAGATCTCACAAATCGAATTGCTAATCGGACTCGGGTGCTATGACAATCGCCAATTTGGCCCCTTCAAATCTTTGAAGCTTCGAGAGGGTCGTTCTAATCCAGTCGTACCAAAAGCTCACCATGGAGAATCATCGTACTGGTACAGTGTTCTAGAGGGGGTTGAAGTGGCAAGAACGGCGGCCGCTTTGTGAAGATTTTGCGCGTAGACGACACCTTGGCGCTGCTGTTCTGTGCCCTATAGAGTGCCTTCATACACACGCGCGCTTTTGCTTGAGTGGTGACATCTCAGCCATTTTCCCGCCCAATCGTTTTTTAAGCATCTTGAAGTGCGTGCAATGCGGTGTCACTCAGCTCGAGCGCGTAGCTTTGGCCAATGCATAAGCGCCATTTTACCGCCCAAGTCACGCACCGAGTGCGCGAGAGCCTCACGCGCTCGCACATTCAGGGCAACAATGAATGTCTTCACCCTGAGACAGACAGACATGTAGGCACCCTAGTGCCCTAGGAGCGCGCCCCCGTCAGCGCCATCATCAGCGCTGTTCGGCGCTTACTACTGTGGTTTGACTGGAGCTTTTCGCGGTGCGAAACAACTCTTAATGTTCTTCTGGATACTCTGTTTCACCTTATGACGTAGCGCCGGAAAGGCTACAAGCGCGAGCTCCTTGCTCTGGTTCACATCTCGGCGGCACAAGCTCTCGTGCGTTAAGAGCAGCTCCCAACGCTATGAGCTCGCGCTTCTAGCCTTCGCTGCGGTACAACATAAGGTGAAACGAAGTATATTAAATTGTAGTTCTGCCTTTGGACTAATGCCTCTAGAGTGTGTGCTATCCTCTACTTGAAATGTTCCCGTGTTTTGAGGGAGATTATTTAATTAATATCGACTCCTCCCCCCCCCCCCCCCCCCCCCCCACCCCAGTACTGACGCATCGTTCGGCAACGCTATCACTTAGGCTGCAGGCTTAATAGCTGCGAAAGAAGTTCTACGGTGCTACATTTTGGAGAAGCGTATTGCGTCACCCTCGTCGTCTTCTTCGTTCATCGCACACGTGTCATTAATTCTCCTAGGGCACAGAACTCCAGCGCCACTCGCGGTATCTACGTCGACCGTCTTCACGCGCTTCATTAAAAGCGGGCGCCGCTCTTGCCACTACACCCTCTAGAACACTGTAGTACTGGGCCCGTTTGCTCGAAGCTGATTTGCTTTGACAACGGTAGGAGGTTAACAGCATTTCCCTACGAGGGCGAATTTTAGGTCACGTGACCGGCAGAGTAAGGACGGCGGGGATGCATGGCGGTGCCCCTGAGAGCGTGCGTCGCTCGATTTGGAATATGTCGCAGTAGCTGCAATAAAGACGCTTTAGTCAGCACTGAATGGTGCAGCAGGCTTTCGCTTTGCCTTACCTCACTTATATCGCAAAACCTGAGCAATGACCTCGCCACATTTTTTAGATAGTCTTTTGATTCTGGCCAAGCCTAAAGAAACGCGGTAATTGCCGACATGGCAAAGTTTTTGGAATACCTTATTGGATTGCCTTGACTCGATCGGCCGGGTACTAATAGCAAGCAGAAGCACACAGAGCCCCAATGAACGTTAAATTTTCCAAACACCGAGATGCATGCTACGAGTGTGGTTACACGCGCTGCACGTGCTAGAGCAAAGCCTCCTCTATACTGACAAAGCCTGGCAGATTGCTAC